CTGATGTTATTAACCTGGGATATGATCAGTAAATCATCAAAGACATAGGAACTGTAAAGGACAGTTATATTTTTGTTTGGTTGATTTGTGTTGCTGTCTTGCATCCGTTTTCCCTCTCTACAAGCATCCTGATTTCCTAGTTCCCAGTGTGTATCATCTTGATGGTCCAGTAACTCCAGATTCCTGTCTCCAACTACAGAAGCCAGAGAGGTGAATAGAACCTACTTGTCCTGCTGTGATAAAACCAGGAGGCAAGCAAGTAACCTGAGCATGGCCAACACAATGCTCTCCCCTAGGACTTAGAGTAAGTGAAGCAAGGATGGAAAGAACACTAGAAATAACCTCCATGAAAGACAGGAATTAAAAGGAAAGAACTTCTCAAGTGCAATGAAATCACTCAGTGAACTGTGGAACTGTTCTATCCACTTCTTTTTGTTGTTATTTTTCTTTTTGTTGTTCTATCCACTTCTATAATTCTTTCTTATTTCTCTTCTAAAGCCTTTCCATAGCTCCTCTCACACCTGTCCCACATTTTATTTTACTGCCATCTAGACTTCAGGCATTCTCTACCTGTTTAGTGCCACCATATTATATATTTAGATTATTAAATATTCCCTTTTGACCCATCCAGCCCTCAAGCCCTTGTCAGGTTCAGAACCTAAGCTGATTCCTCTTTCTTTTGAAATTCTAAGCAGTTGTATGTTCTCTGCCCCTTTCCCTTTTCAATACCATAATTAAGAATTTCCCTTTCTGAGGAAGCTAATTATCATCAGGTCAGGGCATAGCTGGGAATGAGCAAAGAGGATGAGCTGGGATCAGAAAAGCAGTCTATACACACAAAGCATAAGTTCTGGGCAAGATGGAACAGAAGACAGGTGACCAAAAATAATCACACATATTCTTACTAATACTTTTTTTTAAAGCATCTAAAAGGTGGAAATGTATTGATATTTGCTTATAGAATGATAATTTGTGCTCATTTCAATAGCACTGTAGGGGAAATATTTAATTACTCTTTTACTTAAGTAATCACATTGGCAGATGAAATAAATTTCCTTTTTTAAAAATATTAATAAGAAACATGGTGTTCTATAGTATCTAGAAGTTTCTAAATTCATATATTTCAAATATTCTTCTTCATTCACAGACTGTAAAATTGCACATTTCATTTGCAATTGAAACCTTTTTTGGAGGCTCTCCCAAAGGCAGGCAAACAGGATGGGTTTGAGTAGAGATGCAGCAAATAATTATTTTTTAATGTTGACTATGTTCCAGAAGAAAGATGGTATAACTCCTACCCATGTAAAGTCTGGCTGGTTTTGTCAGGATGATACTAAATCATTTCTGGATTTTCCATCTAAATCTTCTTCTTTTTGTTCCTTCCACTCTGCTCTACTTTTGGGTTATAAAATTTTAGCTCTCTCCATTTTCCAGAATCAGGTCAACTAACTATCACTCATGACAATTACTACCTCCCATACCTACTCTCATCTCTAAGATATGGGAATAAGCCCATAGTAGTAGCTCTCAACCCCAGCTGTCCATCCAAATGCCTCATAGAAGATTTGGAATATAGACCAGCCCAAGAGCGATCCCAGAGGTTATAACTGCCAAAGGATCCCTGGCTCCCCAGATAATTCTGATAGATAACCAGGGTTAAGAAACACTAACACAGGAACATAAATTCTAGTTTTAAGGATATGTCAGAATGCTAAATCAACTTACATTTACCTAAGCAATTATGCTCTCCTTATAGAAACTCATACATACAAAACCAACATCAAGGTAGTTGGCGTTTGGAATAGGCCTTTTTTGAAATCATGGAGAAGTTACTAATTCCTGGTACATAGAAGAATTCACTTTGCCTATCTTCAGGAATACCCTTTGTATCCAGACATTTTTTAATATCATAGAAATGATGTTAGGGGTGCCTGGGTGGCTCAGTCTGTTAAGCATCCAACTCTTGATTTCAGCTCAGGTCCTGATCTCAGGGTCATCAGGTGGAACCCTGTGTGGAGCTCCACATTCAGCAGGCAGTCTGCTTTTCTCCCTCTCCCTCTCTCTCTCTGCCCCTCCCCAAGCTCATACGTACTCTCTCTCTTAAATAAATAAATTTTTTTAAAAGGAAAGAAATTATGTTAGAAATAACAAGTACAATTGCGACTCTGTTGGTAATATTGTATTGTGGGTCAATATTGGTGAAGCAGCATTTTGGGGGCTGAGAACGTTCTCTAAGAGTTCTGAGTTCCTCAAATTGTACCGCGGAGATTTTCACGGCTGAACTTCCGGGTCTAATTAGCT